CATGAGCCGTGCCGCGAAGGCTGTTGGGATTACACCGAATGGACGCCGGTAAGTTGTGGGCGAAAAACGGTGAAGACTTGTAAGAATGTGTTGGTATGACTTGCTTGTGTTTTTTTGCCTTTGCAGTGCTCGAAATCCTGCGGCACGGGCACGCAGACACGTGGCGTGGTTTGCATGCTGAATGGCACGCGTGTCAGTGAAAATTTCTGCGATCAGCGCAAGCTTGATTCCTACCGCGATACAATAAAAGCGTGTAAACCAGAACCTTGCTACTCATATGAAGATAATTTGGTAAGTACTGGCGGCGTTAAGATGGTTTTTGTAGCAAATAACCTTTTCTACTAAATTTAATAGGCCACACAGCGTTCGTTCCCGAACTACTGGGTCGCCGACGAGTGGGGCGAATGTAATGACAACTGCGAGAAGAATCGTACGGTAACATGTCGCAATCCGCTCGGCTATGGCTGTCCCATGGATCGACGACCGCTGTCAAAGCGAAAATGTTGCAACATCAAATACGTATCCAATTGGTCGAATGTAAGTTGCAAATATCCGCCTCGCGCTCTTCAAATACTCGTCACTCAGTACAAATTTTTCTTTTGCTATATTTGCTTTAGTGTTCTGTGGAGTGCGGTAATGGCGTGCGTCGCAAGGAGATCCATTGTGCACGCGTCTACAAGCCAGAGATCAAAGGTACACCGCGTCGACGTGTCATTATCGATCCCTACCACTGCCGGCATCTGCGCATGCCAGCGCCAAAACGCATGCACAAACCCTGCAAGGTCAGCTGCAAATGGTCCACCTCCGATTGGACACAATGCCCGTCCGATTGCCATGAGGAGTATCAATCGCGTTCGGTTTACTGTGAGTCTGTGTTGGGCAATCCGATTGCGTATCGCTACTGCGATGCGACCAAGAAGCCGCCATCGAAGAAGATCTGCAACAATTGTGTGCGAAAGGAATCGAAAATCATTACGAACGTAAGTACTAGAGTGACCTTAACTTTTCTTTTTTTCTTATTTATTTCTCTACAAAACCCCCCTTAGTGCAACTGCGATGGTTTTCGACGTCGTCGCATCATTTGCCACGATTCGACGGGTCGTCGCATAGTTTGTCCCACCAAAGAGCGACTGATCAAAGAGAAATGCCCACCACCACGTGAGTGTATGCCACAATCATGTGATGATTTGCGCCGTCTACATCGCTACTATCAGGATCGTGAATACACCATCTACGTGCGTTCGCGTGCGCGCAAAGTCTACTGCCATAATATGAGTAGCTCGCCAAAGGAGTATATAAACGTGAATCAGCAAGAAAACTATTCCATTTACTATGATTATAAAACAACGGATCCGGATAGATGTCCGCCAGCGTCGAGATTACGTGAATTCCGTGATAACAGTACGAGTTCGGGACGTACGAATTTCCGTAAGATACGCATTAGTGTGCCAGACTTGCGTGTCATAGAAAATGATTTCACATTTGCGGAGACAATGGGTACGCCACAAATGTATGGTTCGGCGGGTGATTGTTACAATCGCAATAAGGAATGTCCGCAGGGAGATTTCTCCATTAATTTAGAGAATACCGGCTTTCGCATACGTGCCGGTGCGCGTTGGGATACATTCGGAAATAGCGTGATAATGAAGGTCTCTAAACCGGTGAGTAAAAGCGGCGAACTGATTGGTGTATTCGTAAAAGTATTTCGGTGTATAGCGCGTTTTTCAAAAGAATTGGGTTCCGAATATTGTAGGTTAGTTTGAGGCTGGTACCAAAAAAAATTAAGAGGGCGTGACACTTCATACCCTTCCAGCTTGAAATAGCAAATATTACAGACTGCAACGAACTGCTTTTATTTCTCCTCTGACTACAGGGCTTGTCAGGGAAGCCTCTTCAAAATCATAACAAAAAATCAACGGAATTATCATTTCTCTTAACACAGTATGTATTATGTATTGATGCATATTCTCTGTGGTAGTGGTCCGGGACCTATTTTGATGAAACCTCTTTGAGGCTTGTAAGAGTTTAAGGTGAAGAAGGGAGTGACAGCTTGACGATAAGCACGCATGGATTCCCGCCACACATTTCCAAAAAATCCTGTACCAGGAGACGGTCCTATCTCCTCTGGTGAACTACTGGATAAACGCCGATTTCTCCTGATGATATTTTAAGCGCATCCAGTCCCCGAAACCAGATTTCATTTCCCATTCCAAGAACAATGCTATCCAACTTATATGCGTATCAGGGCACATGGGAGTCGAAGGAAATGAGGAAGCCAATAAGTTAGACAGAATGACCGCTGCCATGACCCCGATAGGATCTGAACCCTTCCTTGCAGTAGGTCTTAACACGATAAAGGAGGCGCTCCGAAGGGAAAACACCAAACTGAGGGAAGTGCATTGACGAAACATCCTTTATCTTAACAAAGTTTAGAATTTACTAGCGGGGTACAATCGAAAGCCGTGCAGACTTGCCTAAGCTGGGACTGTGGTACAGCGATCTATGTCAATCTTGTGACTCCCATCATTGCACCCCCTCCTGGAGCGTCAGGCCGTTTAACGGAGAATGGAGAGGACATCTAAGGCCCAGAGAAGAGCATCTACACTCCCTACTTCTGGGACCTATTCTAACATATATAGTCTTTAGGGCTAGATGCAGTGTTGTGATGAGCTGAGGGCACAATAGGCCTACTGGTCGCAGTGCATACTCCTATTTCTCTAGACATATCTCCCGCATGTTCCGCGATTGAACTGTGGTTAGGCAGTGGGGCAGCTCCTCTGTCCAGCCTAAGATGAGGGTGGCAGAAATTGTAAGTTTCGAAATATCTCAAACTAAGTAGTTGTTTAGTTCTAGGCGAGTCTGAGGGAGGATAGTTTATCTGAAAGCGCGGAGTTAGTGTAGAGTTAGGATAGTTCATCGGTTTAAGATAGGCTTTCGCACGGCCTCCAAGATAGGATAGATCGACGGCTATCGACCAGTTGAGATGTAAATAATAGCATTTTAAATGTGTTTAATGGCGGCATAGTTTTGGGCGGTTAGTTATGACAGCAGTCTTTTCGGCAAGTTCTGTCATCTCATTGGTTTGCTTTTCATCTCATCTGCTATCGGGTTTTCTTTCTATTTTTTACAGTTCGACACCTCTACAGCGTCGCGTCGCGCCTTCTGTGGTGGCTATTGTGGACGTTGCCAACTCTCTCATACCGGCTTGTATTTGGACGTTTGACCGCACATCGGCTAAAGCAACCTAAGTGTGGATAAAAATTTTTGTTGGGTAAGAAACTGTCGTTTACTTTTCCTTTTCGCTCGCAGCTTAATCAACTTTCATTTTCCAAACACGAACGCACTCCCAAAAATAGGCTCACAAAAACCGTTCGGTAAGTGGTCTTGACACAACCAGTATTGGAAGGCGAGCTGACAGCTGCATGCGGTGATGACAGTTGGCATTGCGTGCAAGATTTATGTGCCATGCAGTGACGCGGCGACGTTGTCATTGCCCACCCACCAAATCAAGTCAACGAAACCATGGAAGGGAGAAAGAGATGTGGCAGTAAAACAGTGTAATAAATAAAAGAAAAAAATATTTTAATTACAAATATTTCAATTATAAAAAAGGAACACTAATATAAATTAAGCAAAGGTAATTAACGAAAGAAACAAAAACAAAAACAATAATAATAAACGAATTGACGAAAACGGTGAATTTGTAAGCGAAAGTTCGACGCCGAAATGTATGCTCGTTTGAAGTAAGCGTTAAATGCGCAGCCGCGGCCACAAACTGCCAACAGCAAGTAGACAATAATAAGCAACAACAAAAGCAATATTTACAGTAAAATAGTAGTATGTAACAAAAAACAATGCTGCAGTTATAAAGTATCAAAAATGTGTTCGAAAATCTACGCAATCTCGTTGAAAATTGTCGAACAACCCAAAATAGATGAGTAAGGATTAAAAATAAAAGATTTTACTGTTGCTTAAGTACAAAGTTGAATTTTCTCAACTTTTATTGTATATATTGTAAGAATATTTTAATTTATAATTGTTTGAAAAAAGTATTAATTCAAAGAAAAATTGCAAAAAAAATATATAAATCGATGTAGAAGTTTCGATTTCTAAATAATTCGAAGAAAAATTAAAAATTTACTAATTTACGAAAATAACTTCCGTGAAACATATCCCGTTAGATTTATAGTTTTTCAAACAATTTGAACTCAACGTTAAAAGCTTTTAATCAAAATTTCAATTTTAATTGAAACCCAATTTCAATCAAATATATATATATTAATACATATTATCAGAGTTGGTCACTTTATAAATTGTCGTGAGAAGCTCTTTTAAGCTTTCTGCTCGTTTTATTTAGCAGGGAAACTGGTAAAAGCTGACGCTAACCAACACTGATACACATGTTTAAGGCAAATGCAAATATTTTCAGGAGCTTTGTTTAAAATTCAAAGTTTGTTTGAAAAGCTTTCCAAATTGTAAAGCTTTTTAGTCACCGATTTTATTGAAAAAGATATCTTTCGAGAAAGCTCTGGAAATTTTTAAGCCACCGATTTTCTAAAAATATAGTTCTTTCAGCAAATTTATAAGATCTACAACTTAAAAAGCTCGATAGTCTTTTCTGAAAGCATTTGAAACTAGAATATTTTGACTACATTAACATTTTATGAATATAGGTGTCAATCAAAAGCGAAAATACAACCTCTTTCGTTTTCATCGCGCACAGGTGGCCACTTTATCGGCACACATGCCAAGCTTTTAAAGCTTTTTATGCAATTTATGTGGACAATAGCGGGATAAAGGCTCTCTCTGGCCAACACTACTCAAAGGCGGTGTTTGTCATCACCTTACTTGATGAGCTTTTTCAAGCTTTCAATAGCTTTTTATAGAATTATGCAGAGAAAAACGATTGCCCTAGAGTTTAAATTTCTGATAAACAGCCACTTGGCTGAAACAGGCAAAAACAGTTTTAAAAATCTTTCACAAACACCAGTGAATTTTGAAAACTTTCGTCAGAGCTTTCATGTTTTTGCGTTTCATTTTGAAACACTGGCGGTTCGAGATAGTTTTTGTGCGCGTATTTGTAAACACATACATATGTAGATGTATTTTGGTCCGCGCATCAGTTCAGTTAAAAGCTCTACATAAGACTATTCGCACGCGCTCAGAGAAAAAGCTCTATTTGGTCATCGCTGCATTGGTGGCAATTTTTTACATTCGGTTTTTATGAAAACGAGTTACGCGTTAGGTGGTTTCAAGAAACTGAAAGCTTTTGCAAAAAATATAAAATCTGAAAATATTTTTTATATAAAATTTTAGCAAATGCACACATTTAGATGCCAGGAAACATTTCTATTAATTCCACTAAAAAGAATAATTTACAAATTAGATTGACCAGCCTATAACAATAATCACACACAACAAAAACTCGATCAAAATTTTTAAAAACATACGAAAATGTTAAACCAATGAAAATTATTAATAATTTTTGAGAAAGTTTTCTTTTCAACAGGAATTTAAATACGCCATATTGTTAGGAATAATATTATAAATTAAGTTAAAAAATAGTTAAAATAAAAACTAAAAATAAGGAAAATAAAAAAGTAAAATATGAGTAATTTAATCTAAAAGAATGTATTTGCAAATAGGAAATTTCATTCAGATCAATGAGTAATTATCAAAATATTTTAAATTATTAGAAAAAAACACAAAAACATGAAAATAATTGAATCTTACAAATTTAAGAAATTTCTTAATGAAAATAGATGTGTATATATTGAACTGGGTGTATGTATTTCAGATATGCCATATATTTTAAAAATCCCTTGCGTCGGGTTGCTGCTTGTGGAGAAATGCGGCATTAGAAAAAATAAAATAAAAATAAAAAAAATATTAATATTTACTTTTTCTAAGAATTTTTTAAAATTTTTTTTTTAAATAGTTGAGTTGCTAAATTGCAATTTATATATATATATGTTAAAAAAAATTTGCAAAGTATTCAAAAAAAAATTTTAAATTATAAATCGAAAAAAATAACCGAAAAAGTTACTTCCTAAAATAATTTCCCAGAAACCTTTATTTTGCATTTTTTCCAAAAAAAAATATATAAAAATGCGTCTTTAAAATTTCGAAATCATAACTTTAAATTTATCCCAGCCTCCTACCTCATTCACTCCCAGCAGCTACTCACATACATACTTACGTACATATGTATGTATGCGTATGTCGTTTGACTCGAATATTAATTTAATTTATTTTAATTTTAAATTTCAGCTTTGGCAATACATACAAACAATTTTAATTGTAATTGTATAAAAATACGTAAAAAGGTGCTTTTAGTTATAATACAAAACTAAGAATAAAGTTTGGAAATAAATGTATGTGAATGTATTTGATGTCGCAAAAGATTGTATTAACAAAAATATTTTTAAGATTTTTTTTTTGTAAATTTTCAAAAACCAAAAAAAAAAACTAAACTCAAAACAAAGATTTTAAAAATATGAAAAAAATACATAAATATTATATACGATCGCTACTTTCTGTGAAAGTAGACGCGTATAAACAACGTTAAGGGCCAGTATATGCAAATAAGTATATTTTTATGAGTGTATGTGTGTATCAACTTATAAGTGCATATACCATACTGCCATTTAAAATACGTTTT